AGTGTATAGCTACTTTAACATCTTGCACATTGTTTATTTATTAACTGTATATTGTATGCATTGTATTATGGAGGACTTGTGTTTTTGTCTGTACTTGTGTTGTTTTATGTTTGTGCCTCTGACTGCAGATCAAGTTTCACCTCAGAGATAATAAAATGACTGAAATAAACTGAACCAGCTCGTGCCGGTGCCACTTTTAAACACCTCAACTAATTTAAAATGACATATTACATGAAACAAACATAATTTCATTTGTATCCACAACTTTCTGTACTGAAACACTGTCTGCAGGACCTCTACAACCCATAACTCTGTTGGACATGACAGTACTCGTCTTTCCACTGGGGGCCATATCTGCACAAACACCTGACGAGAACAAGTCGGTGCTAAAAAGTGCTGCGTGCACTTTGGTGTTTCTGGGTCAGACTCCACTGTATACAGATATGTGAGCGGAGCAGGCTGGTGCACGGTTGTTTGTTTTGCACCCTCCCACCTCGGAGTTATGCAAGAGCAAAAGGTTGTGCAACTTAAGAGGGACTACTGAGACCCTCGCTGGCCCTGACAGCCTAATTATAGAGACACTGGGTGGCGGCGACACCACAGTGGAAATAACTGGCCTGGTTTTCCATCCGCAACACAGCTGACCTGTCGACAAAACACCGCTGGTAACCGAATGACACGGCAGACACTGGAGCCGAGCGAAGACTAACACTAAAAGATTATTTTTAACGAAGCTACAACGGCAACGCGCTGTGTTGACATCTGCTCACAACTCTGACCACAGCTTGCTTACATATTTGTGTTTTAATGTGTTTAGTTATTATTGGAATAGCCATTTTATGCATTACTTTATTGTGAGTTTTGCACAAAACAAAAAACCTTCACAGAGAGCAACAGCTGTTTGCTTGTTTTCTGTAACTTTTCTGGACTGCAGCACAAATAAAGTTGATTATTATGTTGTTTTTTTTTGTCGTTTAATCCAATTCCTACATGCAAAACCAAAAGCTTATCTGTAGAAAATACCAAGAACCTGCTGGAAGCCTGGAGGGAACATTTTTAGTGCAGCTTGCGAGTCCTGCTGCTATGATGGGCTGCCTCACTAATCCACTAAGCAGCCTAAACACCAGCAGCCTTGGCAGCGCTCAGCGATCATGCAGTATTTCTGTATGTGTTTATGTGTACATGTACGTGCGCGCCAATAACGCACTTAACAACAGCCTCCAAAATAGCCGCGCAGAGCGGTGGTGCGAGAGGACCCCCCGTGTTGTGCGTCACTCCGGGTCACAACCAGTACAGAAGCTCAGTTTCACCTCCCACACTCCCGAACCCGGCGCTCAGACCGGGCTGCATAACTCCACAACCCACTGCCCTTTATGTAACCACACGGTCGCTGTAACTGGAGGCCTTACGTAACCTGAAACACTCTGCTGCGAAGTCAAAAACATCAGTTAGCTGTTAACTAGCAGTGGAGACTCTACTTTAGTGCTCTTTTATCACATTATTGCATAACGTGCAGGCACTTGTTTGCCCCACTACCCTCGTTTACGAGCAGAGTCGGCGACCTCTGAGCCAGCCACGCCTCTCGTACGCTCGCAATCCACGTTTGATGACTGCATACTAGACAAGATTCTTCCTGTGCGAGGGAATTTGCTGCTTACAATACATTCTCACACAAGCTCCGGTGGTTTTTACTTTCTCCTACTGTGGTATAAACGTCTGTTTTCTCACTGTGTTGATGTTTCTGTTGAACCACTAAGTCTGCACTACAGACGCAGTGAAGCTATTTGCACAAACCAGAGTCGTTGTAGATCAATTCGGTTTAGATTCAGGTGGTTTCCAGGGTGGGTTTAGTTTAGTGTGGTGTATTTTAAAATCATAATGAGTCATATTTTTAGGGGCAAGATTAAACAAGTTCAGAATAGGCATTACAATTAATTACAACATGTAGACAGTCGCAGTAAACACGTGTACAAACGCCTACTCGTGTTTGTTGTGTTTACAAATTGAACCAAATTGACAGAGACAGACATTTCCTGTCTATATTTATTAATATATTCTATAAAAGTACACAATATAGTTTCAGTTTTCATCTAAAGTCTAGTTTTTATTTCTATTTCAGTCGACTAAAATGGTTTTTCACACCTAGACAGAGATTTTAGTTCAGTTTTAGTTAACTATAAGAACACCTGTGCATTCACCTCCCCAGGACTAAAACCATGTGAACTACAGCTGATGTTAGCAGACCATTATAAAACAAAGGACCCAAAGAGTCTGAAGATCCCATTTCCTCCCTGATAATACAACCACTGTTTGTTCCTGTGACTGAGTAACAACACACACACATATATATATGTGTTGTTACAGTAGTGGGCTCAGGTGTTCGCGTTGCCATGGCCGCGGGGCTTACCTGCCGAGGATGCGAGACTCTCCTGTTTCAACACACAGCCGCGAGCTGAGGGCTTCAAAGCTGGAGTTTTCCAACAGTTTCATGTTGTCTGTGGAAAAAAGAAAACATTGAGCTAAAGTTAGTCAGCAGTCACATTAAGAGGATGCATCTCCATCTTGCTCCCTCATTTTATTACACAATAAATAAAAGGTAACTAATAACAGAGTAATAGTGCAGGTATATGGAGTATAACCACTTATTTTCCAGTCGTTATTGGGTATATTCCCACTTTTAAATCCCCTCTTATGTGCAGAATTTGGTAAATAGTGTCCTGCAAGCTGATGTTCTGTGTATGGCAAAGATTATGACACATATATCCAATTTTATTGAGAGGAAGAGCAAGAAATAGGGGATATTTAACCTAAAATGACTGGTGTGGGCCAGTATGGATAGCAAATAAACTCCTCTCCTGCAGCTAATGTTGATTCCACAATGATACTGAACATCCTGAAGCCAAAACAGCAGAAATTAAAGGCACAATAGATCATTTTAGTGGTGTTAAATATGCAAGAATATGTTGTTTATCCTCCGCATTAAGAGAAAAATAAGACTTTCAATACGTAATAAATCACATTTTCCAAGCAACTACTTATTACAAGCTCACTAATAAAGCCTGTAAACACATAAACACAAACAAAAGCACACAAACAACCACTACAGCGCCCCGTGAGGGCCAAACCTAACTAAGGTCAAAACACAATTTCCTCTTTCTTTCTGTCCCACCGCCCCTCCCCCACCCTGTTCAACCCAAGTGAACCGTCTTCCTGGTTCACGTTTAATATCCACAGAAATGAAACCTTACCGATCAATATGTTCACCCACAGGGGTCTGAGGAAACCGGCGGGTTCAAAGGTCAGGACCCTTCTCCGTCACTCGGAGCAGATAAAAGATTATCGATCCCGCTTTGTCGTTACGGTTCGCAGTTAAGCTAGCTCACTTATTTATCGCTCCTGTCTTTTCAGGAAGAAGGGAATAAAATAATGCTGTTTTTTATATATTCACGCTATTAATTCGAGCTTAAACATCTTACACAAGCACTCGGTCGAGGGTGAGTTATTCTGGGGGCTTTTAAATTTATAGAAAAACTGCTTTTCCCGATCAAATGCGAGGAGATTAAATCCTGAGACTGCTGTCGTCCGTCGGAGTCTGTCTGCAGCGGCATCCCTTTCGACCTGGTTTCACAAAAGAGGCTCGTATCGGATAAAATCAAGTCGCTTTTTGTCCCAAAAGCGACTCGATCGGTAAAAGTAGCAACTGCCGAGCTACCCTAGTGTAAATAATGTGGCGAAAGGAGTCTGCGTATGGTCGTATCACCTTAAAAACACATCTATTCTCATCAAAACAACGGAGGCGAATGTACGCTGAAAGCCCAGCCCCTTCGCCTTTATGCATATATATAGTCGCGCCGTACGTACACGCCCACTTTTAGCAAAAAGCGCTCTCGTGATTGGCTGCGCGGCTTGTCGATCGAACGGGCCGCTAATGTGATTGGTTGAAAGGTGCTCGGTCAATCCCCAGGCTAGGGCTGTGTCAAATGTCTTGACTCGACTGGGTTTATCTCGCAACCACAGCTGCTGCTGCAACAAGAGCTGCAGATTCACACATTTGCGTGTATTTAATGTGTTTGTGTTCTTTATTTATTTCCTTTTCAGCCCGGGCTCTGTAGCTGTCACTTGAAACCCTTAAAAAACACGTAGAAATGTGTGTATTCTCAGTCTGCATTAAAATACGCAGTTTAAATAGCCACGACTTGTTCAGGATCTAATGTTACTTTATTCATTATTGAATGGTCTAATTTACTGTTTGCACACCAGTTTTTTTTTAATAGATTTTATGTGTGTTGGTTTTGAGATTTAATCTGTTTTGTGTTATGTGTTATGTAATTTTATGTCTTTTAATGTTATTGTAACACACCCTGCATTGGACTTAAATTGCAGGGAATGAGCTGATTTAATGTAATACTTATTGTAGCCTCAAGCATGCAGTCATAGCATATTGATGAACGAAATAAAATCCACAAAGATAAGAAAAGAAGATTGGGGCCGAGTGAAAACTGCTATGTTAATTAACTACAGTCACGCACAAAACAAAAGCATATAATTCCTTATCTCGTTGGCCCAGTGGCCTAATGGATAAGGCATCAGCCTCCGGAGCTGGGGATTGTGGGTTCAAGTCCCACCTGGGTCGAACAACAGGATGTTGAATGGTGTAATTTATAATGCAGTAGCGTTAAATCACACTAATAATGTCATACAGCACATTGTATGTAATGTGAATTAACATGCTGCATTATTCTCTTAAAACATACACCTCCACATTTTAATAGAAAACCTTCACAGTAACAGAACCCGCGTTAAAATATTTCAACAGAACATTTTATTGACAGAAATACAAATGGCATTCAGAAACCATTGATACAGGAGCTGCTGTTGGTTTGTCAGGTCTGTTTGATATAGTCAGAAACATCCTCCAGGCCTGTGCACTCATTGTCCAGGTACTCCAGGATCACGTTACCCCCGTTGTACAGGGGAGTCTCTGGATGAGCCAGCAGCGAGAGCAGCGTGTCGTCCATCCGGAAAGACTCACCTGTCTGAGGGTGACATAACCGCAGCTTCTGCAAGTGGAGAGCAGAGAGGCACGCTGTTAAGAAACGCTGTGCTTCTTGTTTCTTCCATTGTTTATAACTTAATTATGCTTGGAAGAAAACTGTTAAGATTAGATATGGAATTGCTTTGTGTTATGAAGAATTAAAAGTAGTGGCTATTTAAATGGAAACTGGTTTTATGGGTTCAAAGAAGGAGAGAAGATTGTACAACAGGGGAAAGCAGAAGAAATCTGTGTTAAAAAGCCAATAAAGCATCACTAAGAGACACATCATTGACTATAAACTACATTAAAAGTGATGGTATGAATACCTGAAAATGATGTACTGTAATATTTGGAACTATGGAACTATTGTCCCAAATTTAAAATAATGAATATAGTTTAATAACTAATGAATAATGAATAAAAGTTTAAAGTTCTGCTAGTTGTTTCCTGCACTTATATCTGAATAAAAAATGTTATCACTCCAGTTTTAGTCATTGGCTGAGTTCCTGTTTATTGTTAATTTCTACCTGTTTGATCGATAAATGCTTCACAGAAAACTGCAGTGAAAATGAAAAACCGATTTACAACGAGAGGGAGAACAGGGAGAACTATTCAAATATTTACAAGCTCAAACAAACGATTTACATATAGGCTAAAGGAACACGCTAATCCACAGATCTGGAGAGAAAGACAGAAAGAGAGAAGGTCAAACGTGCTCCACACCAGCTGACTGCTCGTGAGGAGAGACCCCGGCACTGGTTAAAAGCCGTGTACTGCTATTACTCTAAGCAGCATGCATAGGTCGTCACATTTGTTGTTGCTTTTTAGAAATAAAGACACTAAGAGGATCTGAAATGTCACCAAACCTAAGCAGGAAATTTGCCAAGTTGGCAACATTCTTGCTAATTAAAGATGATGACGTATCGCAGAGCTCATTCCGGTGCCACCTCACATTCATGTGAAAACGTAACAATTAAAATGATATATTTCATGATGCATTAATGTAATAAGACATTTATTGACCGTCCCAGACACTTTATCTCTGTGTCCCAGGTGCTATTTTTATTGACCACTGGGATGTCGTTAATTTCTAGTGCTGCTGACAACTGATAGAAGAAGACTGATATGCAAAACATTTCACACTTGTTAAACCAGCTTCCTGTTCTTTCCCACTGAAGTCACATGCTGAGAGCAGGAAATTGTTCATAACTAACACCTGCATTTCATCGTCCTCTTATTTAAGAAGTGAAAGTTATGAAGAAGACAAGAAAATGCAGTTCATGTAACAAGAAAGTAGGCTGAGAGGTGGGGGAAGCAGATACTATGTTGTGTTTATGAGTGACTCTACTCCTGCTGTCTGTTACCTTAGCTGTCAGTATGTTGTTGTTGTTCTTGAGGCTAGCTAGAGATGCAGCATAATCCACCACTTTGCCCACGCTCCATTTGGAACAGAAAAACATGGGTAGACTGGAGTCTTTGGATTCTTTAGGAAGATACACCTGAAAATAGGTTCTTTCTGTCTGGAAAGCCAAAGAAAAAGGAGAAGAAACCAGTCAGTCACAAAAGAAAAACACGCACAGAGGTAAACTGAAGATATGTCAGTATGAAAAGTTATTATCACATTACTTTTTACAAATAAGATCAAGGCAGCTGGGATTTTACCTGTGGTATTCCCTTGTCTCCGGCAGCGTGCAGCTTCAGTTTCATTAATGCTACCTTAGCTGCAGTGGCACTGTTCTTTGCTCCTCTGCGTCCTTTACTTTTGGACCCATCCTTTGACTCTGAGTAGTTACAAGAGACAAACAAACATAATCCAAATGTAAGAAGGTTGAGGAGAAAAAACAACATCAGTTATGACAACGATGAGAGCATTTTGTCTAACACTGATCCCATGTGGACGAATAAGGAATGACTATCAACTACACTGAAACTTACCAACAATCTTTTGCACGAGCTCCTTTGTGGCGGCCATTCGAGGCTTTTGGACCTCCAACTTCTCACTGTTGATCTTCTTGGATGAGCGCGATGTGGCTGTGATGTGGAAGAGGCAGTGTAGAATTCATTAATCATCATTTATACGTGCCGTTTCAGTTGGGGGCAAGATGCGTAACCCCATTATCCTTTGACTCTTTCTGTATGGAAACTATGAGCTAGGATGCGCCGTACAGGTCAACACAAGTTATGTTGTTTCACAGAGAAGTTCATGAAAGCGAGGAAAAGAATTGTAAACCTACGCCAAACAGAAATGTTTTTCACACTGCGGACAGATTACTGGCAGCAACTCTTTTCCCTTGCAGTCTTGAAATGAGCACGGATAACTTGTGCTCCCACCCTCGGTGCGAGTTTCCCTTTTCACCGGCTCCTGAAAAGAGTCACAGGAAATATAACAACAAGCTCACCAGTATATAAAGGACAGGACAGAAGAAAACCACGTCCCACAAGTAATCTTATCAAAGAAGGACATAAAGAAGCACACAGCGTACCACTGAACATGAATGGGCCTCTCTGCTTCTGTGCTCGAGACTGTAAGAGACAAAAAGAATGAATATCTTTTATCAACAATAATAAGACGTATGTGGAATGGACGGAGGTGAAACTTAATTTATTTGACTATTTCTAGGTCATGCAACTTTCTACTTTTACTTCCCTAAACTGCTTTTATCTGACACCTGTAACTACTAGAGCCTGACTGACACGTTGACGTTGATACAGATACTGACATTTGAGAGAAATACTATTTATATCCTTAAACATTCAACAGTTTATTAGGATGGCTTACACTTGTGACCAAGCTTATGTACTGAGCAGAGATTTTACATTTTAAAATTTGATTTTGTTAAAGATTAGTGTTTACCTATATATACTGTACATAATGGTGTTTCCACAGTGTGCTATAATATTAGTACTTAGAGTTAGGGACCTGAATACTTCCTATAACTTAGTTATTTACATTATATATCAGATAATCTTACCAGAAAACACCACTGCAGCAATCACAAACAAATGGAAGGAAATCTAAAAAAAAAAAAGGATAGAAAGAGTTTAATCTCAGATCTGAATTCAACAACCCTCTGTCAAACCCTTTCCATACTACTACTGTTTCTATTATTATATTATTATCTCTAACTCATTTGAATCTTTCAGTAGATACCTGAGAGACAAATCTAATATATGCACAATAAACAGCTGCTTATACGGAACTTTCCGATCTGGTACAATCCCTTAAAAGAGATTAAAACTATTTAGTGAGCAGCGAGGGAGAGGCAAACAATGCTAACGCGAGCTAGCTGACGAGCTAACACTGCTAAAGAGTTTTACATTCACAGAAACATCAGAATAAAGTCACACTTCAATATGTGTGCTTATTGCAATAATAATATTACCTTTCCTGCTGCAGGGGTCGACCTGACAGTGCTGCCCAATGTCTAATTCAGCCATCAGACAGCGGTGGGTCTGCGGATGTCAACACGAACTTTGACCCCGGAAGTTTCACTAGCGTCACTCTGTGTTTGCCTGAAACAGATTCATTTATTATTATTTTATTTTTTTTATTAAAGAATGGCGCAGGTTTAAGTATGTACATTTACTTACTAGCCTTTCACAAAAAAAATAAAATTAGATTAAAAAAAAAAGTTTTTATTATCTAATTTAAACTAAGATTAAAACAAAAAAAAAAAAAAA